TATATATATATATATATATATATATATATATATATATATATATATATATATATATATATATATATATATATATATATATGTGTGTGTGTGTGTGTGTGTGTGTGTGTGTGTGTGTGTGTACAAGTTCATTGGTCCCTTTAGCATTCTTAGCAATCCCTACTTTTCTTTTTTCTATCAAATACTCTTTTCCCATTGGCATTAACACTTCCGAATGATCTTCCTCTTCTTTATCAGCTCCAATTTGGTGAACATGATCCTTAAGTAAAATCCCATAAGACTCGTTTCTGTGTCTTTTTCTAAGTTGTATAAATCAGCAACTCTTCTTTTACATTAGGTGGACAATGCTTGCTAATGCATTCTTGAACTGAAGCTCCCTACTTAATGTTGCTTTGCACGGAAAATGTCACCTTTAGTAGTCCTCTCACAAAAGATACAAGTCACCACATTAGGATCTTTAGGATCCTTTAGATAATTGTATTTCCAACCAAGATCTTTTCTTGAGATTTTTTATGAAGCTTCTGAATTACTTAATACACTAGCCATTATTCCTGAAACCTAATAACAATTCTAAATAGTAAATAGGGACTAATAACAGATTAATAGATTAATAGTTTTAACATAAGCTATGGTTTGAGGAGTCACCGGAATGGAATAGAGGTGGGGAAGAAAGAGGGCGGTGGCGATGGAGGAACCTTCGAACGACAACAGCGGCAACGAAGGAAGCTACAAACTATGGTGTCGGGGGCGAAGGAAGCTTTCGATCTGTCCGTCGACAACTGAGGAAGCAGTGGACCTATCCCTCGATAGCCGAGGGAGCTACACACGAAGGCAACATCATAGGAGAATGATTCGAACCTTTACATTGACGATAGACGACTTAGGGATTTGTCGACATGGAGGGGAGGGTGGATGTGTTTACTGTTGGACTTAGTTGGCTCGATTGAACCAATTTACTACTAAATTGAACTAGAGTCCACAATCTGGTTCAACTCGTGGGATTCGATTGAGCGCTAGCCCAAGGCGCCCAAGTGGTGCTTCAGTGAAGCATGTCACCCGGACCTTGTGCAACGCACTCGGGTCTCACCTCACTCAAGCACCTTTTAAAAACACTGGTGGATAAGAGGAAATATGTCAGACTAGTATGATTCTCATGGATCCTCTGTATGACTTGATTACATCTCTAAATATGGGAGTGACCTCCTTCGATGGATGCTTGTGATGCCCCGCACACCTTTGGTGTGGTGGAGGTTGACCCTTTGTAAATTGTATCCATCTTTATTTTAAGACTCCTTTCTTTCATTCTTGTGAAAAAATGAATATCAAAAGTGAGATACAACTGCTAAACTACTTAGAATTGCTGCATCAAAAGTGCGGTTTAGGCCCTGTACTAGATGATAAGCTAACATGGTGGGTTAGGCTATGCAATCAGCCATGTGTAGCCGTTGTGCCCTTTGTGGGGGCCATAGAAAGCCCCCATACACCCCATTCTTTCCCCTCACACTCTCACTATCTCTTCATTGCCCTCTTTTTTTATCTCTGATCTCTCCCAAAATTCACTTATTATCTCCTAACTCCC